CGTATATAGTATGGAAACTTACTGTTAACCAGTTAACAGGTTTTTACTGTAACATTTTTACAGTCTTTTACTGTTAAAATTACAATCATTTTTTTCAGTGCAGGTTTCTCCAAACCTGTATGACTTCCTTTCTTCTGTGGATCACAAAATATATGTTTTTGGGGTCCAAATGTCTAAAGTTATTTGAACCCTAACATTCTTTAAAATACCTTCTTGTGTTCCACAGAAGAAAGTGGAATGACATGAGGGTAAGTAAATTATGACAGAACTTTCATTTTTATGTCTCTTCCTTTCATGCTGTGCTTTTCACTGTGTGTTTGTGTGTGCATGTGTGTGTGTATGCCGTTATTGTACCAAATACCCTTGTCCAAGTACATGAGAAGATGGTTTAATAGGCCTGCATCATTACCTCTCCTGCACCTCAGCTCCAAAGGTCAACAACTCTCAGTTCAGCCAATACCTCTCTTTTATCTCAAGCGAATTGCAGTTCTGATGTGCATGCTAAAACATAAAATATCTTCAGCTCTTTGTTCTCTGCCTTCCTTCTTCCTTCCTCTTTCAAGATCGGCTCATCGCTCGGGTCTCGCTGCTCTTGCTCTCTATCACGTCCATGCTTTTAGATCAACCATTCTATAGAAGACTTTCTAGAAGATGAACAAGGTCATCCTGTTCACCTTCAAAATCTAGAGCAAGGAAGGGAGGTGTGAGTCCATTGTCATCCATTTGCTGTGCCCAACGATCCAACTCTTTGTTTGTCTGGCACCTATTTTAGACCATAAATTCAGCCCAATGTCATGAGGGACATGCGAAGGGATTATGGGAAGTACTTTGAGTCTCTGACTCATGTCACTTCAAACCGCAGGATGGAAATGGGCCTTGTTTGCTTGTTATATTAGCGTATGAAATATTTGCCCCCATATCTGTAATGACTAATACTCGTGCCCCTCAGACGCCAACAGAGAACTCAGAAGTGGAGCACCACTCTGCTCACAGCTAAAGTGTGGCGGCAAAGAAACCGCACTCTCCTAATTTGAACTTTAAGATTTAGATAAAAGCACTGAGCTTTTATGAATGTTCCCCAGATAAACAACCCAGCACGTCTCAAGGTTTTTAAACGGCACGCTCTTAAAACTGCAAAAGCATACAATTGTTGTGGAAAACAGCCTCCTGAAGGGAGGGGGTAGGCAGTAAAACATCCATCTGTCCTAGCGCTATAAACGTAAAGCTGTAAAAGACATTGGCCATCTATCAAATTGAAGATGAACCATTTGTTTAATTGTTTTTTTTTTTTTTTTACCCTTTTTGTTTTTCTTTTTTCCATTTTAAATGCTAAAATGTTGCGTGACTAAAGACGCTCTGCAGGCACATTCTTGGCAGAACTTTTAACCTTTATGAAAGTGTGGTTATGGTCCAACAGCACATTCATCACACTCATTTCTTTCGCTTTAAATCATATTTTCTTCTAAAACAGGACTTATGTAAATGTAAATGTAAATTAACTACATTTCCTGCACTGCATTTGTTTGCAAGTCCTCTTGCTGTGCTCTTCTCTCTTCCCCATGAATGCATAAACATATCAGTAGTTACTTTGAAACTATAGTTCTGCAAAAAAAAAATGTTGTAATTTCGTGCCATTCCAAACCTGGATTGATTTACCTACACTTGGGGGGAAAACATGTATTCAACATGAAATATTGAAGTAGAAAAACTGAATTAGTATTTTCTCCCATAATCTTTGTTGTTTTTCAATTGAACAAAAAAAGTATGTTCAATCTATTCATTTACATAAGTGGTTCACAAACCTGTCCTGGAGTACCACCCGCCCTGCACATTTTGTGTGTCTTCCTCATCTATCACACCTGATTCAACTCATCAGCTCATTAGTGGAGACTGCAAGACCTGAAGTGGCTGTGTCAGATATAGGGAGACATAAAAAACGTGCAGTGCTGGGGGTACTTCATGGAGAGGTTTAAGAACCACTGATTTACATGAACTGTCTGAGTGAGTCTATTCACTTGAATGAATCAGATCTTCCAGTGCTACATATATGTGACCCTGGACCACAAAACCAGTCATAAGGGTCAATTTTTTTAAATTGAGATTAATACATAATCTGAAAGCTGAATTTGTTTATTTTCCATTGATGTCCAAGCGACTTAAGACTGGTTTTGTGGTCCAGGGTCACATATGGTGATTGGTTTGATTGCTTTTCGTTCCACTCTATTGCTACTTGTTGACAAAAGCATCTTGTTACTGTAAAAGCTACAGTATTTCAAAGCAGATGTCACACAACTGAACAATGGAGTTAGTATCATCACAACTTTTAGTTAGTTATTCCCAAACACTGCAGACAGTGCCTGATGCCATTCTTCTCCAGAGAGAGATGATTTAAGGACGAAAGAGCAGCTGGCAGAGAGATTTGATTTGATTTGATGCCACCTCTGCTTTTTATCAGCTATTTTTCCATTTCCTTTTTTCATTCACAACACATCCCTCTTTTATTTCCCTGGAGCCCGAACTTGTTGCAGAATGTGAGATTTCAGAGAGGAAACAAGGGAAAGTAGTCCCCTCATCAGGGAACTCCCTTAACTCAACTTTAAATTCAAGTCCCGAAACTAGGATTGAGTCCTTTCACCAAAAAATATATATATATGAATGAATTAATAATAATTAATTCCCTTACAAATTTAAGTAGTCAAGTTATCTACAGCATCTACTCTCTACTTTCTTTTAATTCTGCCCCCAATGTGTCAAACAGCTCTCGAATTACTCCGTCTGAATCTAAACCCCATCTTTTGGATCTTAATAAGCATCCAAATGCTTTTCTAATCTGTTTCCGTTTCGCAGAGCTGACGAGGCCTTCCTCTAAATCTCCATGTGTAAATATAAAATGTTTTAACAGGAGCTTATGAGATAACTCCTAATCATTTCTGGCAAATGATTTATAAAAATAAAACTATAAACACCTCCAGACTTATTTTGATGTCATTTAGATGTTACACAGACAACTTGTCTGACATTCGTGGGTATATTTGATAATGTGCAAACCAGGATCAGAGGATTAGGGATAACCTTTATGTCAGTGTGTGTGTGTGTGGTTTGGCAGCTCATACACACTTTGAAGTTTTAATATCAGTCTCCATATAAACAGCACATTTTTGTTGACATATTATTGATGCAGACGTGTGGAGAGTTATATTTGTTATAAGTTCAGGAACATTTCCTAGACTAAACATCCCGAAGATCAACCCGAGCAGACCATTGTTTGTCAATAAAGTCTGAGAGGATGAATTCAATAACAGTTGTGGCTCTTTTGAACATAGTATTTCAACAGAAAAACCTGCATCTTATTCACTAACCACTCGCAATTCAACTTAACCAGACAATGCATTGTATTTAAATTGTAATTTTCAGTGCAAACACACTTCCTTTCCTACTGTACTTTCCTAAGTACTGTAAGTAATAAGGCTAGAATAAAATGTTTTTTTTTTTTTAAATATATATATTTAAATATATAAAATATTTGCTCGGGTATGTATATATATATATATATATATATATCTCCGGCGTGATTCACGAGGTGTGTCCTTGCCTTCGTCATCTGGTATTCACTACCTTATGATACCACTCTGATCCAGTTCGCAGCTGCTGTCCACCACAGCAACAGCTCAGTTCTTTATCACGATGGGAGGGGAGAGTTTGCGAGAAGAGGAGAGGCGCGCAGATAAAGACATGGAAGAGACTGAGGTTGTAAATCAAGGCTCTGTCCCTCATGACCTTGTCTGAACATGCACCTGTTGTTGAGTGCATTGTTACACCTTTCATAGTGGTGGTGAGGAGAAGGGGGAAAAAGTACTCCTGGAAAAATAAGAGCCGAGATGCCAGAGGTGGCAGCGAGAAGATTGAATTGCTAGCAAAGAGATCTGGACAGTGATAAAGGGAAAAGGAGCCGGACTGTTATAAAGCGAGAGGGAGAGAAAGAGAAAGACAGATGGAAGTGACAGGTGAGACAGTGAGGTCATTACAGCAGCCGTCAGATTGTCTGGCTGCACATGTGTGGGTTTGTGTGCACATGTTGTGATTGCTGATCTTGCCCTATACAACATGTTTTGCTCTTTTTGACAGCGTATCATATCCTTTTGTTCGGTCTTGATCACTCAGCCTTGCGCTCGCTCCTGAAGTCATTCAATAAGACCCAATTGAAGTCTTTCCTCTGTCTCTCATTCTTTGATAGATGGGTCACTCACATAACAAACATGTCCAATAACTGACTGAAGTCACACAGGTTTTGTTCACACTGTGCGCAAATCCGATTTGGGCTTTATATCTGATCTTTAGATCAGATCGCTCTGTCACTTTGCAAGTGATGAAATCTGATGGTTTATTTGTTCAGACAGCATAGTCAATATCCGGTGTATCTATATGTCGTTTGTTCAGACAGTACAGTCAATATTTGGTGTCTATACATTGGTTGCTGTAGATTTGATGTAAACATCACAATGTCAAGAGAGTTTTATCACAATTGAGAGAAGCTGTCAGAGAAAAAATTACCTCTGCGCATCAGTTTATCATGACATCTTGAACTCACGAGGCACATGAAACAATATAAGCAATAGAGGAATCACATATTGTCCAAGACCAATGATTCTACAGTATGTAAGGAATGTCATATAGTTTGCTGTATGATGAAAGAGTGAGAAAAATGGGTGTATCAAACACATCATAACTAATCTGGCCAAATTAAAAAGACAAGCATGCATCAAATTGCTCAAAAATAACAGTAACTTTTACATTGGTACAAAGAAATCTATTTAAAAAATGCTGTTCATTGGAAATTTCTATTCATAAAGTAATCCTAAAAAAATACAGATACAAATATGTTAAGCTAAACTGTTTGTTATATTTAATTGATAATATTAAAAATTGTTTCTTGACCCCTAAATCAGCATATTAGAATGATTTCTGAAGGATCATGTGACATTGAAGACAGATTTGCCATCACAGGAATAAATTACATTTTAAAGGAATGAAAATAGAAAACAATATTTCACAATATTACTGTATTTTTGATGAGATAAATGTGGCTTTGGTAAACATAAGAGCATTCTTTCAAAAACGAAAAAAAAAAAAATAAAAAATTGGTGCCAACCAAAATTTTTGAATGGTAATGTGCACAGTCTACTACATAGGTTTAATTCTAAGGAAGGTTTCGACAGATTTTTATGAAACTTTTTGTGCAAGGCGGGCTGCTTAAATATTTTCTGTTAAGATAGATATTTAACAGTACTTTAATGGGGATTTATCAAGACCCTGGATGGAGGCAGCAAGTGTATATATATATATGTATATGTATATGTATATGTATATATATAATGTTTGACCTCCCTGAAAGGTCCTTGTCCTTTTGACACACTGTCATAGAACCATCTTTTATTTCCTCTGTTAGTCACATGCACTGAATGTGAATGCTCCATCTAATCAATGCAAATAGCTTTCTTCCCTTTGTTAAGAAATAAGCAGTCTTGAAGTCTCAAACAGATCAATGCCAATATGTCAATCATTTTGCTTCTGTGTTTCCCTTAATTAGCATATTTGATTCAAATAGAGCTTCTGACAGCCTGGCAGAGGCAAAGAACTATATAACACTGCCAAGAGGCTTTCTAATACAACAGCTGAGAGTAGCTGTCAGTGTGGGAACAGAGGATGGAAAATTGGACTGAACTGGACTCAAGAGAGAATTTGAGCGTGAAGAGTGGCACAAATACCGGTAAAATGTCAGGCAAAAAGTACTATATATATGAAGTTCTCCATATATCACAAAAAAACTCTGTCACCTCCCAAACTCCACCTATAATATTGGCATTGCTAAATAGTTAATAGTGGACAGTAAAATGAGACTAGTAAAAAAGAGGAAAATCTGGCTATTCATATTCCTCCTGATAAATCTTTGAAGGAACTGGGCGTATCGATTGCTCAGTAAAGAAGAGAGAGGTTTTATGATTTTATCTTATGCGCAATGAGCAGATTGAGCCCCAAAAATGACTAAATAATTGTTGACCTTCATGAAAGTCATTGTACGTTTGACACGCTGTCATAGAGCCGTTTTTTATTTTCTCTGTTAGTCACAAGTACAATTCTGAAAAGCCTCCAGTGAATGTTCCAACTAATCAATGCAAATAGCTTTCTTCCCTTTGTTAAGAAATAAGCAGTCTTGAAGTCTCAAACAGATCAATGCCAATATGTCAATCATTTTGCTTCTGTGTTTCCCTTAATTAGCATATTTGATTCAAATAGAGCTTCTGACAGCCTGGCAGAGGCAAAGAACTATATAACACTGCCAAGAGGCTTTCTAATACAACAGCTGAGAGTAGCTGTCAGTGTGGAAAGAGAGGACAGAAAGCTTAAGATTTTGCTGAACGACTCAAGAGAGAATATAAGCGAGAATGGTGGCATAAATAGTGATAAAAGATCAGGCAAAAAGTCACTTACACACAACTGTCACCTCCCAAACTCCACCTATAATATTGACTTGGCTGAAGAGTTAATAGTGGACAGTAAAATGGGACTGTTAAAAAAAGAGGAAAACTCTGGCTATTCAAATTCTTCCTGATAAATCTTTGAAGGAACTGGGCGTATCGATTGCTCAGTAAAGAAGAGAGAGGTTTTATGATTTTATCTTACATTCTTGGCTTCCCCTTCGGCATAGCTATCTATCAGTTTCCCTTCGTCTCTTTCTCTGGTATGTTCCTGGCTTCCACTGCAGTCTTAACAAGCAAAGTTGAGGAACAAGAGTATGGCCTGGTCTGACTTTAACTGCACAGGAGCCTTGAAATATTTGTCTCCTGATTATCTGACCAAAAGAAGCTACAGTATGGGTGCCATTATTTATTTATTTATCCATCCATCCTTCAAGCACATTTTTTTTTTTACCTATTTTGCTTTATAGGGGTAAAAAGTTTGGAATAATTAAGACATTTAATGTTTTTGGGAAAAAAAGTATC